TGATTCCTAGCCCAGTCATGCGCATAAATACTGAGGCTGAGACATCGGAAGGCCCTAGATCTATTGTTTTAGGAAATCATGATGATCTATTAAGGGTTGATGAAATTGCTATTAATTATATAGAGACTGGAGAGTCTTATGATCGAAATGCTACAACTGTCGACATCTTTTTCTCTGAACAAATTGTTGAAATCCTTCAAAATGATCCAGATCCAAAATCCATGGTAGAGTGCAAGAAGCGCTCGGACTGGAATAAGTGGAAGGATTCAATAGAAACAGAGATAGCCTCGCTCACAAAATGGGAAGTGTTTTTGGCCGTATTGCCAACACCTCTTGGTGTCCATCCTGTTGGATATAAATGGGTTTTCGTCCGGAAACAGAATGAAAACAATGAAGTGGTGAGATATAAAGCAAGGCTAGTAGCACAAGGCTTCACGCAAAGGCCTGGCGTTGATTTCAACGAAACTTATTCTCCAATCATGAGTGGCATAACTTTCTGATATTTAATATCTTTGGCAGTACAAAATCGTTTGTCTATGCAGTTGATGGACGTGGTGACCGCATATTTATATGGGTCATTGGATTCTAAGATATACATGAAAGTTTCTGACGGAATTAGTATACCAAATCCTGAGGCAAATCGCAACATGTTTTGTGTTAAGTTGCAGAAGTCGTTATATGGCTTAAAACAATCGGGCCGAATGTGGTACAATCGGTTAAGTGAATTCCTTAAACATAAGGGATACACAAATAATGATGATTGCCCGTGTGTCTTCATTAAGAAATCCGTAACGGGTTTTTGCATTGTGTCTGTATACGTTGATGATATAAATATCATTGGTAACGAACATGACATTAATGAAGCACGTCATCATTTGAAGATGGAGTTTGAAATGAAAGACTTGGGTCAAACCAAGTTTTGCTTAGGTTTACAACTTGAGCATTTTTCATCTGGGATTTTTGTATATCAAGCTGCCTATATCCAGAAAATGTTAGAGAAATTCAATATGGATAAAGCTTACCCATGTAAAACCCCCATGGTTGTTAGATCTTTGGAAGTTGAGAAAGATCCTTTCAGACCAAGGGAGGAAGGTGAAAAGATTTTGGGACCCGAGGTTCCTTATCTAAGTGCCATTGGTGCATTCATGTATCTTGCTAATAGTACCCGGCCGGATATTGCTTTTGCAGTTAATTTATTAGCAAGACATAGTGCCACTCCTACCAAGCGTCATTGGGTTGGAGTTAAAACTCTTTTTAGATATCTCAATGGCACAAGAGATCTTGGATTATTCTATAGAAAGAATCAAGATCAAAATTTATTGGGTTATACAGATGCTGGCTATTTATCTGATCCCCATAATGGCAAATCCCAAACTGGTTTTGTATTTTTAAATGGTGGAACAACAATTTCTTAGAAATCATCCAAGTAAACTTTAGTGTCTACATCCACCAACCATTCTGAGATTATTGCATTATATGAAGCCTCACGAGAGTGTGTATGGCTTCGTAGAATGGTAGACCACATATTGAAATCATGTGGAATTTGGTGCACTTGATGCACCAACAATTATCTTTGAAGATAATGCTGCTTGTGTTGTGCAAATGGAATCAGGTTACATCAAGAGTAACTTGACGAAACATATCACCCCCAAATTATTTTATCCCCATGAGTTGCAAAAGAATGGGGAAATTGAGATTCTGCAAACTAAATCATGTGATAATCTTGCCGATCTATTCACAAAGTCCCTACCATATTCTACGTTTCATAAATGCATTGAAGGAATTGGTATGGTTAGACTTAGAGACTTGCAGAAATCAGGGGGAGTATCTCTCGATACTTAATCCATTTCACATCATATTATACTCTTTTCTTTGTATGAGTTTTACCTTGAAAGGTTTTCTCATATAAAGTTTTTAATGAGGCAGTATCAGCATTATGTATGTCATATCATCTAGTTTTTCCCCACTGGGGTTTTTTAGGAGATGATATATTAAGACATTGCTATATGATTATCATGGTGTTTTCTCCTATATTTTCCCATCGGGTTTTTTTAAGGAGTTTTATCCTGATATATCAATGTGTTCCTAAGTTTTTCCCACAAGGTTTTCTAAGGATTAATAATATTAATGATTATGATGAACATTGGAGCTCCAGAAGATAATTGATTATGGGGGAGTGTTAAGAATATTCTAATATTCCTAATAATCAATTAGTGGGCAATTAGCAACTGCTAATTGCAGTTACCGTGACCACTGAAAGGCGTCGAACAGACAGGACGTGGGAGCGGGGCTCTCCCACGTTCACTGGAACTGCCCCATCGTGGGCATGTATATATCTGTGTACTGTTCATCAATAAAGTTTACACCTTCACTTTTACTGTTCCTCTCTACTTTCTACTGTTCATAATACAATGCTACAACAATTACTACATGGCGAAGACAGCATATAGTCTCCAAATGGACTCACACAACAGTATGCAGTCCGGCCCAGACACAGGCGCGCATGATTTCTAGTACGGTCTGAAAGCCCAGACGAATGGCCCAGTAGTAGTAGTGGCCCACCTGACCAAACAAACCCTAAACCACCGATCCGACGGCGGGGATGTCCCGATCAAACCACAAAATCCTACCCGTCACCGCCCCCTTATATAAATGGCTCGCCCTCAGCGCGCCGCCGTTCCTTCGCGCACACAAGCAAACCCTCCTCCCCTCCGCAGCCCGCCGCCCGCCCGCCCGAGGAGGAGGAAGAGAAGGCGAAGGAGTAGCAGCACCGGGCAAGATGAAGACGATCCTGGCGTCGGAGACGATGGACATCCCGGAGGGCGTGACGGTGACGGTGGCCGCCAAGCTGGTGACGGTGGAGGGCCCCCGCGGGAAGCTCACCCGCAACTTCAAGCACCTCAACCTCGACTTCCAGCTGCAGGAGGGCGGGCGCAAGCTCAAGGTGGACGCCTGGTTCGGCACCCGCCGCACCATGGCCGCCATCCGCACCGCCATCTCCCACGTCCAGAACCTCATCAAGGGCGTCACCAAGGGGTACCGCTACAAGATGAGGTTCGTCTACGCTCACTTCCCCATCAACGCCTCCATCACCAACAGCAACACCGCCATCGAGATCAGGAACTTCCTTGGCGAGAAGAAGGTACCCATCTTTCTTTCGCGCGTGCGGCGCAGCAGATCAGATCTGGGAGTGTGGTGATGCGTTCTGACTTTTGACTGACTGGTTGGTGTTCATGATGATCCCGGGATGGCCAGGTCAGGAAGGTGGACATGCTTGAGGGCGTGACCATCCTTCGGTCCGAGAAGGTCAAGGATGAGCTCATCCTCGACGGCAACGACATCGAGCTCGTCTCTCGCTCCGCCGCCCTCATCAACCAGGTGAATACCTACCTATTGATTGCATCCCGTCTGTCATCGCTTATCATCTCTTACTGGTACATATACGAGGTGGCTGCTGTATGCAGTGTCGGATGTGCTTTGGTGTGGTAGATCATGATCCTTGCATTTATTCCTCATTATTGCTCTGTTATGAAGCAATTATTGCTGGTGTAGATAAATTTTAGTAATCCAATATCAAATGATAGGGTTTTATCACATTGGCTGTGCCTAGATGGTAGGAACCAGGTGGTTTCTGCTTGAAATGTCCAGGTAGATCACATTTTAAGTTCGTATGACACTAGTGCTGTCAAATACAAACTAGAACTGTAGTCCTGCATCTCGAGATGTATAAATATCCATCATTCATGTATTTAGTATTTTAAGGCTCTGTATTTAGTAACAGCGAGCACCTAATGCCTGGAAAATGTTATGATTGATCTTAGTCCTAACTGTGAAAATGCGTGTGTGTAGATTAACTATGTGATGAATTCAGTGAGAAACTATTGTTGTCTTGTTTCATTTTTGTACCTGTTGCTGACATTGTGATATTTTACACATGGTATGTCACTTTCTAGTGCAATGCTTATGTCAACTATTGTTCTTGCTTCTATTTTGATCTTTGTTTTCCTCTTTGAAGCGCATAATGAATTTACTAGTTTTGTTGATTGCTGTTATATAATTGTCATTACTACTGGTGGATTTGGATTGATGTGCTATGATTTGTGTTGCTGAACGAGTTTTCTCCATTTCTCTACAGAAATGCCATGTCAAGAAGAAGGATATCAGAAAGTTCTTGGACGGTATCTATGTCAGCGACAAGGGTGTGATCGAGGAGGAGCAGTGAGCGAGCGACAAAGTAGCTATAATGCCTGGAGATGATCCAGAAGTGCTACATCTGCCTGCCATGTTGCTATTATCGTTTGGGTTGCAATTTTCCGAGACTGAATTTTGTACTTGGTTAGGATGTGTTATGGAGCATGCTATCTTATCCTACATATTGTCGTCTCTGTTTAAGAATATGAACCTTGTTTCTCATTCCCTAAAGATAGTTGACTGCCAGTGTTTGTGGTTGAAATGAAAACCGGAGGTTTATTAACTGAATTTGCGTATTCGATTGGATTGCCATGCTGACTGCTACACGTTCATCTTGTTTTGAATTTTGCATCTCAGATTAAATTCTATTTTCAAAAGGTCAATGGCTTGAAGTACCCAGGAAAGGCTTAGCCCTTGCTGTTTTTCTATTTCATTACACCAACACGCTGAATGCGGTGGTTGGAACTCCGATTGAGATTCTGAATGGGGCACTGATATGTTGTTTTACTTTGATTTGATTCGTTTCAAATTTCACTTTCACATTGAATGTTTTATCTAAATTTCCTAGTTGGAGCCTGTACGTGTATTCACACTTTCCTGCATAGCAGTATTGGCAAAATATTTCATGTCCTTAAAAGGTATGGACATTGCTAATACAAGATTGCAAATTACTAATGTCTAAATGGATCCACCTATCATTAGCAGTTCAAAAAATAAGTTTGTGAACTCTAGCGAAACCTGGTTTTTTTCAGAACTCTAAAGCAAGCATTCTTCTAGCGAGTGTGCGACAGAAAAACACAAAGTCGAGTTCAGCCGCAGATTCTTCTGAGCACGAACATGCCATATCCGATGCCAAGAAACGTGGCAATGGAGATCCCGAAGATGCCGACGAGGATTCCGGGCACCACGAGCGAGGTCCAGCCTTTGGCCGTGGCCATGGCGGCCGCGGTGGTGGGCCCGCCGACGTTGGCGTTGGAGGCGATGAGCAGCGGCTTCCTGTCCATCCCCATGATCCTGCCGGCCGCGAGCACAACGGCGAGGTGGACGGACACCTGGACGAGCGCGAAGGCGAAGACGCTGGGCGCCCGGGTGACCGCGTCCACGACGTTGCCGTTGGCCCCGACGACGGCGAAGAAGAGCTGCATGAGGATGAGCGCCAGGTACTCGCCGGCCGGCGCGAGCCTGCCGAGCGGGCCCGGGAACGCCGTGGCCAGGAACACCACCAGCGCCGTGACGCACGGCAGCGTGCCGCCCTGGAGGCCCAGCCGCGCGGCCATGGCCGACCCGGCCTTGCAGATGATGAAGGACAGCGCGACCGCCGCGCCGCCGTTCAGCACGAACAGCCGCCCGCCCCCGCCGCCGCCCTCGTCGGGCTTGCCATCCTTCTGCGGACTCTCCGTCGCCGTCTTGGGCTCTGCTGGGATGTTGGACGCCAGTGAGAAGAGCGCCATGAAGTAGAGCGCCGAGATGAGGTTGTCCGCTGCGACGGCGGCGGCGAGGACCGATGGCGTGAGGCCCAGAGCTTCCGAGATGGCGACGTAGTTCACCGCTGCTCGTTGCAGTCGATGATGTCATCAGTGGGCAGTGGCAGTGATGAGTGAGAGTAAGCAAAGCATTTACAGTTACCTCCGCCAATGTAGCTGCCCATGAGTGCAGCTGCGATCTTCCAGCTATCTTGGCCCAGCGATCTCATGGGGATCAGCAGGTACGCCACCGTCGTGCCGATTACAGTTGCGACTGCACACCAAAATGTTCAACATTCATTCGATTGATTGATAGATGAGCCCGAGGCCTACGAAAAGAAAAGAAAAAAGATGCGATTTTGTCCGCAACCAGATCCGAGAAGGAAGTGTTAGATTGATCTTCTAACCAATAAGCCCAACGGTTTATTGGGCCTTGTTCACGCGCCCTGATCGGGGGCGCCCAACCCTACATGGTTGGTGGGCCCCCGTCGCACTGCGCTATATAAAGAGGTGGGGGGCGGCTCAAAGCATGAGGTTCGCCGTGAGCATAAACCCACCGACAAACCCTAGACCGATCTAAGAGGGCGCTGACCCGGTGACGGAAGCTCTCGTGATCCTCCTCGCCGTCCATCTGCTACGCCCGACCGCCTTTGCATCGACGTCCGCGCAACCTCTACTCCACCGTTGTTGCCGTGTGTTTGCCTCCATCATAGAACCGGCGATGGCCAAAGACAATCGCTGCGACTTCATCTGAAGGCTCGGGTTCATCACTGACCCTCTCTACCCTATCTCCCTCTCGATTGTAGTGTTCTAGGTCTAAATGTGCATGTGCTTCAATCGGTCTAAGTATTCATCCGTCTAGATCTACCCTAGTCGATCCACGGTTTATAACAATGGTACGAGCCTTTTTCTAGCGGTAGATCCGGATCGGGAAAGAAAGAAATCGAACCCTAATCCTCAATCGGGTCGAGGAAAAGTGAGAACTGTTTGAGACATGGTCTCGACATCCCTAACCCGCTTTCGGTGATTGGTGAGAAGGAAAAGAACCGATTTCAAATCGGGGGGAAGAAAAGCAGTTTCATCCCCAAACCTAACCCTAACCCTAATCGGAAATCGTGCAAAATCTGAATCAAAGAAAGCGGAAAGGATCCCGATCTCGGATCGGATCGTAAAGAACCCTAACCCTAGAAATGAAACCCTAACCCTAGATTGGGTTTTGGGAAGGAAAAGATGAAGAGGGAACCTACCGGTCCTCCCGACACCGCCGTCGCATGAAAGCCACCACCGTCTTTGGCGGTGATCACCGCCGCCATGGTTGGCGAGCAGACGAAAGGCCCGGCTCGGCCGTGGCTTTCGGGGACAATGGTCCAAAGCCGCTCGGCAATGGCGCGCTCGCCATGGACGAGCGCGCGCACCGGCGAGGGGCTTGGCACCGTGTCGCCCTCACTTCTTCTCCGGTGGCGAGGTGGTGCGCGCGCTCCCTTCGTCTTCGCTATCCGTCGTGGGAGTGGGAGAGGAGAAAGAGAAATGGTCTAGGGTTTTGGGGAGGGCGGCGTGGCCGGGTTTTTGATGCCCGGTGTCGCGCCCACCGCTCGATCGAGACAGGATGACCGAGCGAGCGGGCCAGCCTGGGGTATGCATGACCCAAAGGGAAAAGCGCGAGGGTGAATTCTAGCCTAGCCCCGAGTTGCGGCTTTGGGTGAAGTCTTATTTGGCTTGTGTATGTGAGTGAGTGTGCCGTGGGTCAGCAGCGATGTCTTCATTTGGGCGAAATGGCCTAATGAATAGAAATAGCTCAAAGTTTTTCTTTTATTTTTCCAGAAATATATATTTTTGATGAATTTCAATTGGAAGTTGATGCAAATCTTTGTGCAATTTTTGTCCAACGACAATTTTGTTCGAAGAAACGATTGCAATATTTAAGAGTTTACGGAAAAATAATTATGGGCATATTTAATTTTTCCGCTGCGTATTTAAAGTAATTATGGACTTTTAATTAAATTGAACCAACGGAGAATTTGATTTTAAAGCCAAGAGATAAATATGAGTTGATTATGATATTGTTATTTTTCGACCAACGTTGTTAATAGCAATATTATAATTTTAATGATTATGCATTATTTCTATTTTCGCCAACGGTGATGTAGATTTAATGTATACAATAATTGTATGTTTTAATTTTAACCAACGTTAAACTAAGGCATGCAATTATTGTTGTTATTCTGTTCTCACACTATTTGAATTGTGTTTTCGTGGAGGATACAACTTAATGAGTTGTATCAAAGAGATCCCCACTCTAAAAGGTGATAACTATAATGAGTGGAAGAAAAGATAGACTGGCCTTCATCCTCATTTGAGGTGGATCTGGGTTGTCACCACACCGTGCCCAGAGAACACTGTGGCACCGGTGAGGGAGACTGATGAGACCGATCTTTGCATGGCGGAATAGAGAGCGAGATTTTGCTCCCGTAAAGATGTCCTATGACCTTGAGCATAGGAAATGGGTCCTTGCCAACAAGAAGTGTTTGGCGGTGATAAAAACACGATTGAGCCTGCTATTGTGGGCTCAATTCCGGATCTGTGACACGGTCACGAGTACCTAGATAGAATAAAGAGTCAGGTTCTTTGGCTCTTCAAAGATTTATATGCAACCCAAATTGATCAAGCAATTTGGTTCTGAAAAAAAAGGTACTACGGTGGCGGCGGTGGCATTAGAGAGCACATATCTTGAGAATGAGCAATCGGCATCTAAGCTCAAACCAATGGATTTGGCACTCAAGGATGAGTTTCTTATTCATTTGATTTTTGCTTCTTTGCCCAAAGAATTTGACACCTTTGTTGTTAATTACAACATACTGACTGAAAAATGGGATTTAGAAAAGCTCATAGCCATGTGTGTGTGCAGGAGGAGGAAAGAATAAAAGTTTCACAAGGTGGTTCATCAACTACCTAAAAGATAAGAAAAAGAACTATTATAATGACTCTTCCTCCAAGTCATCGGAAAAGGTCCTATGCAGCAGTCTCGAAACCAAAGAATTCCCGGTGGCTAAAGATCGGTGTCTCCTTTGCAAGAAGACGGGCATTATAAAAAGAAGCTGTCCCGATTTCCTAAAGATGATAATGAAGAATAAAGGTGAGAACATTATTACGTTTGTAAATGAATCCTTGTATGTAAAGTTTTCAAAATCTACTTGGTGGATTGATTCGGGTGCAACTATTCATGTTGCTAATTCATTCTGAGGATTCCGATTCGATGAGAACTTTGCAAAGAAGCGAAAGTTTCATTAAAGTCGCAAATGGAGTACAAGCGAGAGGTTGAGGCCGTTGGAGATCTTCCTCTAGAGCTTCCAGATGGCTTTATACTTTTTCTTAGAGATGTTCTTTATGTACCTTCTTTGCAAAGAAACCCGATTAGTGTATCAAAGTTGGACCATGATGGTTATGATTGCCATTTTGGAAATGGCAAATGTCGATATTGTTTAATAATAAATGTGTTGGTCTTGCCTTCCGACAAGACGAGCTTTATTTGTTATCACTTCGTGAAAATGTGAATTCGTATGTGATGTGAATGAAAATGTATCCTCATCGAACAATGGAAGCAGAAAATGAAAGAGAGCTCACGATGCGTTGTCGAAATTATGGCCTTTGTCGTTTAGGCCATATTTGAGGGGAGAATAGAAAGACTAGTTAAGAATAATATTCTTCCTTCATTAGAGCTCTCGAGTTAGAACAATGTAGAGATTGCATAAAAGGAAAGTATGTAAAGAAAATTAAGAAAGATGCCAAAGCGAGCGCTTGAGAATTCTCTGATTATTCACACGGACATATGTGGTCCTTTTCCGTGAAAAGTGTGGATGGTTATGATTCATTCATAACATTCACAGAGCGATTACTCTCGATTTGGCTATATTTATCCAATTAAAGAAAGAACAGAAGCGTTGGATAAATTCAAAATATTTAAAGCAGAAGTTGAAAATCAGCATGATTTAAAGATTAAGATAGTCAGGTCTGACCGTGGAGGAGAGTACTACGGTCGGCATACCCCATATGGACAAGTTCTGGACCTTTCGCATAAGGTTCTTACAGGGAGAATGATATAGTCGCCGATGATTCAACAAGGCGAACCTCAGTGAATGGAGTCATTTGAAAGGCGAACTGTACCACGATGGATATGGTGCGTAGTATGATAAGTTACTCCACTTTACCGATGAGTACGTGGATGGAGGCGTTAAAACCGCCATTCATATTCTCAATAGAGTACCAAGTAAGTCGGTGCCCAAAACACCGTATGAGTTGTGGACGGGAAGAGTACCCTCACTTAACCACTTGCGTGTGTGTGGGGGAGCCTCTTTGAGGCTAAAGTTTTAACCCAAATATTGGGAAGCTAGATCCCAAAAGCGGTGAGTTGCCATTTCATTGGCTACCCGGAAAAGTCAAAAGGTTTTCGTTTTTTCTTGGCCCTATGAGACATACAAAGTTTGTGGAAACGAGACACATGTTGTCTTCCTAGAAGATGAAATGATTAGGGGGCGTGGTAGCTCGAGAAATTGACCTTGAAGAGAAGCGGGTGTATGCACCCACTCCGATCATTCATGAGCCATTTTCTCACTACACTGCTGTTCTTTGCACTGTGAGTACAAGACAACTGTGGTGCCAAAGACTGTTGTTATCCCTTTGTGGCAACAATGAATGATGATGAGGAACCTGTGTGTCTCGAGGATCCTATAGAACCTATTGCCACACATGAGGGGGAGCAACAAATGCCTCAAGCAGTAAAAATATGCCAATTGAGGAGGCCCTAGAAGGTCTCAAAGAGTTAGAAAATCAGCTATTCCTGCATTGATTATGAAGTGTACAACAAGAAGAATTTCAAATGGGGATGATCCCACCTCATTTGAAGAAGCCATGAAAAGTGATCATTCATCAAAGTGGCTTGAGGCCATAGAAGATGAGATGAGATCAATGAATGCAAATAAAGTTTGGGATTTGGAGATAATTCCTAAAGGCCAAAAGCAAGAGGGTCGTAAATGGGTCTACAAAACAAAACTTGACTCTCAAGGGAATATAGAAAGATATAAAAGCGACTTATGGCAAAAGGCTTTACACAAAGAGAAGGATTGATTATAATGAGACTTTTCTCCGGTCTCGTGTAAGGATTCCTTCGAGAATCATAATGGCATTAGTGGCACATTACGATTTGGAATTACATCGGATGGATGTAAAGGCGGCATTTCTCAACGGAGACTTAGAGGAAAATGTTTACATGGCACAACCGAAAGGTTTTGTCATGGAGGGAAAAAAACGTTTGGGATGCCGCCTAAAGAAATCTATTTATGGATTAAAACAAGCTTCAAGACAAGTGGTACTTGAAGTTTGATCGGAATAATAAAGAATTTTGGGTTTAAAGATAATGTTGAGGACAATTGTGTCTCACGCATAAAGTTTAAGAATGGGAAGTTTATCTTCCTTGTCACGTATGTGGATGATATCTTACTTGTAAGTAGTGATGTCGATCTACTCTTTTGGAAACAAAGAAGTTTTGTCCTCAAAATTTGATATGAAAGATCTTGGTGAAGCTTCGTTCGTTCTAGGGATCGAGATTCACCGAGATAGAAAGTAAAGGGTATTAGGACTGTCACAAAAGGCATACATAGAAAAAGTCTTAAAGAAATTCAAAGTATGCACAAATGTAGTCCCTCACCTGCTCCTATAGTCAAGGGCGGCAGAGATATGGGGATTTTCAATTCCCGGGAACCAATATGAGATCGATCAAATGAAAGTGGTTCCATATGCTTCAAATTGTCGGAAGCTTGCAATATGCTCAAGTGTGTACGCATACGACTTGGCATTTGTTTGCGGGTTACTTGGCGATTCGAGCAATCACGGAATAGAACACTCGGAAATTGGTAAAGAAAGTCTTGCGTTATTTGCAAGGAACGAAAGGCCTCATGATGACATATAGAAGATCTAATTCACTCCATATAGTGGGATATTCAGATTACGATTATCACGGGAGATAATAGAAAATCCACGTCTGGATATGTGTTCACTCTCGCGGGGAGCTATTTCATGGAAAAGCTCAAAGCAAACCGTCACTACATCGCCCACAATGTATGCCGAGTTTGTAGCGTGTTATGAGGCAAGCAGAGGCAGGTGAAGCGGCTAAAGAAGTTCATACCCGGTTTGAAGGTGGTTGGCGACATCAATAGACCATTGAAGTTATCTTGCGATAATAATCTAGCGATGCAGTATGCTCACAACAATAGGTCAAGTGGTCTTTGCCAAACACATTGACATAAAGTATTATGTTGTGAAGGATAAAGTCCGGGATCAAATGATAAGTCTTGAGCATATAAGTACCGAAAAAGATGCTCATGGATCCACTTACAAAAGGCTTACCACCCAACGTGTTGAGAGAACATGTAGCCGGCATGGGTTTAAGGAAAGCCTATGATTCTGGACTATAAAGGGCCCAAAAGTTAAAGTAACTATTTTGGATCGAGAGGCGTGCATTGTAGGTCATTAAATCTATCGGCGATTGACCGTGACGATGAGACATGCTCTATGCATCATCTGTGAAGAAATGAGTAAGGATAAAAGGATTAAAGTTTAAAGTTTAAAGATAAAAGTAATGGTGAGATCAAGGGGAGAATGTTAGATTGATCTCTAACCAATAAGCCCAACGGCTTATTGGGCCTTGATCACGCAGCATACGATCGGGGCGCCCAACCCTACATGGTTGGTGGGCCCCGTCGACTGCAAGGCTATATAAAGAGGAGGAAATTTGGCGGCTCAAAGCACGAGGTTCGCCGTGAGCGCAAACCCACCGACAAACCCTAGACCGATCTAAGAGGCGCGCGACCCAATGACGGGAAGCTCCGGTGATCCTCGCCCGTCATCCCACGCCTACGCGAGACCGCCATGCATCGACGTCCGCGCAACCTCTACTCCACCCGTCATTTGCCCGTGTCTTTGCCTCCATCACCGAACCGGCGATGGCCCGACAACCACGACTTCATCTGAAGGCTCGGGTTCATCACCAGGCCCTCTCTACCCTATCTCCCTCTCGGTGTAGTGTTCTAGGTCTAAATGTGCATGTGCTTCCTTTGGTCTAAGTATTCATCCGTCTAGATCTACCCTAGTCGATCCACGATTTATAACAGGAAGGCCTTGAGGAGGTCGGTGAAAGTGCAGACGACCTTGGCGGAGGTCGGCGCCGAGGAGCAAAGCAAGCGGGGGCGGCGGCGGCAGCGAGTACTCCATGGCGGTGTCGTCTTGGCTTGGCCTTGTTGGGGTGACGAGGCCGACGGCCTGCCGTGGCGGCCGGCAGCCATGATCTTGACCAGCCCTTGCCGAAAGCTTGGCGCCCATGACGTGTTCTCCTCCGCCCTTCATATATTTGCCATTCAATCCATTTCATCAACGTTACAGGCGTGGGGCGGCCTGGGCAAAGCAGACAAGCAAGCTCCGGTCGGTGGTCGTCGGTGGCTTACCATGTGCTTAACGCGGCGGCGGAGAGGAGGAAGGCCGATTGTTCTGAAGTGGTCGCCGGGGCGCGATGGCCACCATGGCCATGGCGGCGGGGCGGCGGCGGGCGGAGGGCGTGGTAAGGCGAGGGGAGGAGGAGGCCCACTTGTCGTGGCCGCCGTGGTGATGCTTGGATAAGGCTGAGTTTGTGGGCGTAGGCGGCGGCGGGCGGAGGAAGAGGAGCCGGCAGTCTTGCTGGCGACGGCGAGGTGGTGGAGAGGAGGAGCTGAGCTTGTCAGGCGGCGGCGGGTGGCGCCATGCCGCCCCCATCATCACCGAAACAAAATCCTCTTTGTCTGTTAGAGGCGGCGCCCGCGCGCCATGTGTTTGCTTGCTCTTGTGCTTTGGACACCGGTCTTGCCGGCCGGCCGGCCCCTTTCCTCTGCTCCTCCCGTCCGTAATTTTCTTGCCATTTTACTGTCCTTTTACGGCACAATTTTTTGTTTTTCGCATGGAGAAAGTGACATGGAGTCTCATGCTCATCTTGTCTTATATTCTCATTGATGATGGTGAAATGTTTGTGACCTTTATTTTCTTCGTTTTCTTCTTGGAAGAAAGGAATTATACGTATAGGATGTTTTCTTTTTAGAGAAAATGAATTTTACTAATCTCTGACGAGAGTCAAGATACCCAATCAAGCCCGATGAATCCTCCAAAATTCCAAAGATGAAGCGGTACGAACTGGACCAATATTCGGTTTGCATATGTCGGTGTAGCCACGCCGCCACTTGTCGATTGCCCCCTCGTCCGTTCCACCAATTTCCAAATGTTTGGTCCCCGGCGATGCACATCATGAGTTCATGACAAAGACATCTAACCTTGATTAGCACCGCTTGACTACCACTCTGTTTCTTTCATCATAAAAGGGTTCCCTTTGAAAGAAATTTATGAGAATCATTTGGGAAGCGAGCCGAGCCGACCTCGTCCTTAGACACGCAATTCTTTCATAGGGAAGCATTGGATCTGTCAGCCCTTGATACTCCAATCACGGAGGAAGAAGTTTGGGAAACCATCAAGTCTTTGCCAGCCAGATAGAGCCACAGGCCCAGACGGATATCTGATGATTTTACAAGGCTTGTTGGCGGTGATAAAAGCGAGATCTCATGACGGCAATTATCACTTTACTGACAAGGTGATGCAAGGGGGCTTGGATTGTTAAATGGAGCATATATCACTTTGATCCCGAAGAAGAAAGATGCATTGACTGCAAAAGACTTTCACCCTATCAGTTTAGTGCATAGCTTCGGTAAACTCATAACCAAGATTCTGGCAAATCGGCTGGCCCCCTTCCTAGACTCACTGATTTCTACTGATCAGACCGCATTTGTACGTGGAAGATGCATACATGATAACTTCATTCTAGTGCAACAAACAGTTAAGGTGTTACATCGACAAAAGGTGCCGAGCCTCTTTCTCAAGCTGGATATCTCTAAAGCTTTCGACTCGGTGTCGTGGTCTTTTATCTTAGAAGTGCTGCAACATTTGAGCTTTAGCTGTTCGTGGCGCAACTTGGTGGCCAATCTGTTATCATCATCCTCAACTCAAATATTAGTGAATGGAGAACCGGTTGAACTCTTACAGCATCAGCGAGGTCTTCGACAAGGGGACCCTTTATCCCCCCATGCTCTTTATTCTAGTGATGGATGTGCTTAATAGTTTGTTTGTGAAGGCAGGGAATGAGGGGCTGTTGCAACCGTTATCCCCACGTGTGGCTGGCCAAAGACTCTCCCTATATGCTGATGATGTTGCCTTGTTTTTCAAGCCACCTGAAGAGGAGCTGCAGATTACTAGAGATATTCTCAAGGTGTTTGGGGATGCTTCAGGGCTGCAAACTAATATTCAGAAAAGCAACATTATTCCCATCAGCTGTGCAGATGGGTCTTTGGCAGCAATTCAAGATACTCTTCCCGGAACAATCTCAGAGTTCCCGTGTAAATATTTGGGCTTACCGTTGTCTAATAAGAAGCTTCTTAAGAGGGATCTTATGCCATGGATTGAGAAAATCACTGACAAACTCCCGTGTTGGAAGGCGGCTCTCATGAACAGGGCTCGACGTGCCACGTTAGTCCAGTGTGTTCTCTCCGCCATGCCTATTTATTTGTTAATCGCCATCAGCGTCCCGAAGTGGTTCATCATGGCAGTGGATAAAATCAGAAGGGGTTTTTTATGGCAGGGAAAGGAAAAGGCTAATGGAGGTTGTTGTTTAGTGGCTTGGGAGGTCATGAGACCGTTGGAACTTGGTGGATTGGGCATCCCCAACTTGGAAGTGATGGTCTGGGCTTTGCAAATCAGGTGGCAGTGGTTTAAAAAGACCGAAGCTGATCGTCCTTGGGTTGATCTGGAGCTTCCCTCGCACCCTAACTCAATAGCTCTGTTTGCCATCGCTGTCACTACAGGGGTAGGGAATGGACACAATACTCTTTTCTAGACTGACCGGTGGCTGCACGGGTGTTCGATTGAGAATCTTACGCCAGCTGTCTTTGCTTGTGTCTCGCCAAGAATTCACAAAAGCCGGACTGTGGCTGAAGCTCTCACCAACGTGGTGTGGCCAAGGGACATTCAAGGAGGTCTATCCTTGGCTGGTATTAGAGAATTTCTACAGCTATGAGATTGCCTCTTGGAAATTATTTTGACTGACCAAGAGGATCGTCATATATGGAGGTTCGATGCAAGTGGATGTTACTCTTCCAAATCTGCCTATAAAGCTTTTTTCTATGGTGCTGTGACTTTTGAGCCTTAGCGTCGGCTATGGAAGACTTGGGCCCCTGCCAAATGCAAAATGTTTTTATGGTTGGCAATCCGAAATAGATGTTGGACGGCAGATAGACTTGCTAAGAGGGGCCTCTCTCATCCGGATAAATGCCCTCTATGTGATCAAGAAGATAAGACGATACAACATCTTTTAACAACATGCGTGGTGGCAAGACAAATTTGGTTTAGATTATTCACTCCACTGAACCTAGCAGATTCAGTCCCCCTGACAAAATGAATTGAGCTTTGTTGACCGGTGGTGCACGACGATGAGCAGAGTTAGCAAGGAGCATAGGAAAGGAGTGAACACTTTAATTATTTTAGGGGCCTGGATTATTTGGAAGCATAGGAATGCATGTGTTTTTGAGGGGGCTTCTCCTTCGCTTAACATGATTTGGAGTGAGCTGAAGAATGAGCACAGCCTCTGGTGCATGGCTGGGCGAGAAAATTACAGGGGTTAGGTCTCGCGCTTGCAGACTAGGTCTTTTTGAGCTAAGGTCGAGTCGTATTGTCCAATATGTGTCTAAACCATATGGTTGTGTGATTGCCTCACTCATATTTGGTCCCCGTGTGAGTGAAGATCTTGTTGAGGACTCCCCTTTTTTGATCTCTATAATGCAATGAAACGCAGCTCTCCTGCGTTAAAAAAAAAGATAACCATGATGTAATGACCGGAGAAGATGATGTTGCAGCATCGTTCAGCTGTATGAAGATTGTAAAAACGTCTACGAATGAATGGGTTTCACAAAGCGACGTGATACTGAAACGCCACAAGGAGACACAGGGACCAAAAGGTCAAGGAAACTTCTTCTCCAGCGGATCCAGAGTCTCTCAAGCAGTCAAGGGCCAATCAGCCTGTCACAGGTAATGTAGGACTGCAAGTCTGCAACTGCAACACAAGGATCATGGCAAAACTAATGCAAATGATTAGCGCTAAAGATGGAGACCGCCTCTTGTAACCGCTCCTGCAATCAACAAGCATAATTCCAAATGCCTGTCTCTCTCGTGCAGTGGCAAAGCACTCAGGCCTGGGGGCACCACAGCCTGGCACCATTTCTCTGCTCCTCACAAGCTCAGGATTCTGATACATGCACATGACATCACAGGTGGCACTTGTCCTCTTGTCTGTTTTGGTTTTAGTTTTGGCTTGACTCTCATCTCAATCAGCTGCCGCCAAGAAAAATAGTCACAAATGCGTCTTCTGTTCATCAACACAAATATTCAGGTTTTTGGGGACATACCTTCCAGGTTGGCAACAATTCCATGCATTTTGAATATACGTACATACATATAGGAGTACATGACATCACAGGTGAGGTGCCAAATGTCATAGTAACCTTTCAAGCCAATCATTTGTTCTTCATAGGATGCATACGTGTCTGCTCCAAAGAGACGCGTATGGACAGCACCAAGTCAAAGATTTGCAGATTCGCGCACACGGACAAACAGACCAATCATGACTCAAACATACACACCAACAGAGGTTTCTCATACCTACAGACACTGCAGGATTATTATAAGGAACAGCATTCCGTTGATACTACACAGAATGACAGAAACAAGAATTTAGGTGTCATGTCTTATGTTCAGATAAACTCCTCGGCGTCTATAAATAGACCACAGTAGCAGGAAATTAAGCATAAGTGCAACCAGCTCCCTAACATCTCCTCCTTCATCTGTCTGCTTCCTACTCTCTACAAAAGAAACATCTCCTTCGTTTGACAAAGATGGCGGAGAAAGCAAGCGCCGCTCGTCTCATCAGAGTTTACAGGGCTGAAAGGCAAAGGAGAGTTCGTCCGCTCCCACGGCGCGGACAGATTAAGCTCAAGATAGCACACATTGTGGTGCGCTCCATCGCTTCCGCACTCCTCAGGGCCCTTTCGCCACTCCCAGTTCTCAATCAGAAATGAACGTGACAAAATTGTAAAGTTAGTTTCTGCTCTAGGTTTGCTCCCTGTGTAATCTGTTTATCAGAAAACGGCAGTATGTAGAGGTCTTTCCTCTCTCTGCAGTATTGGTGTGAGTGAGCTTCATGAATGGCCCTGCGGTCCATTATTCTCATTTTTCTTGCCTTGCTCCTGTGTTGTGTCTTTAGCTTGTTGCTCAGTGTTCTCATCGCTAGGCCGATCGCCATCTGATTCTGATTCGCTCTCAGAGCTGTCGCTATCTGAACTATCTCCGCAGACTAGACTCTTTGATGGCTTTATAGTCATACCAACGATACTTCTGATCCATGCCCCCTCGAAAAGAGAATTTCCTGACGAGGTTGAGCCACCCGTATCCTCCGCATTTGATGAGGTGCTTGACGATGTGCCAGTCAAAAATGTTGAGGCTGCTTTGCATGCAGTCACAATTTCCTTTTTCGCTTGTTTCAGCTGAGTGCAGAGAAAAAGATTGATGAGATTCAGTATGTGCCAATTTTATAAACTAAATTAATTTGGACAGTATTGCCAATGGATAAGGCTACTGCTACTGCTACTGTTTCACATAATGGCATAAATTCCTTTGCATAAAGATTTTTAAGAAATATATTTCCAACACAATCTGACAGTGTACCACAACAATTTTCTATTAGACTTCCTTCAGCTAGAAAGAATGCACATTAATTTTTGAGTCTTCCCCATCCTGTTTCAGTTTGGTTAACATGATGGCATGGTCTACTTGCTCAAGTTTTCAAAGAGTGAGATGCGGAACACAAAAGTCTAGAAGATACACATAACTTGAGGGGAAGTACATCAAATTCCAATGGTACAACAGGAGATGACAAAATTTCAAGAGAAAACATAAAAATAGCAGAAAAGTCCAGAATGCATACCTTTACTGCTGTAGTTTCAGCAACCTCTAGAGCAGCATCACCCGCATTTGCAAAGCGATTGACCCAACCTGCACATAATCAATCACTTTGGAGTCATAAATCAGTTTAATTTTGAAGATGTTTTCATGACTGGACTTCAGTTCAAAATAAAGGGCTTATATTTCAGCAGCCATTATAGACAAGGAACAACCAAATAATTTGTTTACGAGTCAAATGGGAAGAAATGATAAGAACCTGGAAGTTTCGGTACTTCAAGCTTTTCGCAGAAGGTATTGCAGAAGTGGTTGCAGTTTCTTGACAGGAGTTCATATGACTGTCCAGGCCACTCCCAGCTCAGTTCCCTTAGTATCTGATTTACCTTGAGGATACAGCAGTTGGTCTTCCCCAGCACTATGGACTCACGATAAGTGTACATGGGATTTTTGCATGGGGGGCAGCTAAAAACCCCAGTGCCATGGTCGCAGTAGCCAAAGGACCATTCTTCATCACCATAGACCTGTTAGTTGAGATGCTCAGGAGTTAATCACAACAGAGCCTCAACAATAAGCACCTAATAATGAATAGTCAGTTGCTAGGAATCCAATCGCAGATAAAATCATTGATACCAATACCATGGATGACTAGTTTCATAGGATGAATTTACAAAAAATTCATTGAAGAGAGCAGTAAAGGACCCTAACAATCAGTGCTTATTCTAGACGGCCAGGAGGAGCTAAGCAGTTCACAGAACCAGGAGCAGAATGGTTATAAAGAATAAAGAGTGTTTTTCTTTTCACAATTCATGGCATCATCGTTAGGATGACACAGAGATCTATCTTTTACCACAAGGCTGCATTCAACCCTACCGGATTAATAGGAAATCTCCAAGCCCCCATTGAGAACTACAGTTTGAAGTCACACCCTCTTCAAGGAGCACGGTATCAGGCTAAATGGTGACTACTGGCTAGCAGTTACATATATGGCACAGTTTGTACGCTTGTCAATTCCAACGAAAAATGAAGTTAAATTCTTCACACGAGCAATAAAAACATAATCGCCCCCATTCAGTACAAACAGCAATGAATTAAGATTTGGGGTTAAAAAAAACAATTTGACGCATTAACCAATGCCACTATACAAAAAAGAACCGATTTCTATCTCTCCAGAAGACGAACCCGCTGGAGTCGAGATCCAATCTTTGCGGGCGTTGCAGGCATCCCAAATGGAGAAAAAGAATGGCGGTGGGATCGGGAGGAGAAATGGATGACCTGGATGGCGGTGTGGAAGATGCCGCCGAGGCCGATGGCGTCCTTGAAGAAGCGGTTGATGTGGAGCACGGTGGTGTCGGAGCCGGCGGTGGCGACGTCGTAGACGTGCGCGACCACATCCTGGCCCATCCCCTGGCGCGGCGCCTCGCCGCCGGAGATCGCTGGAGCCTTTTGCCGTAGTCCCACCTTTTCGCCGGAGCGGATGACGAACCGGGCCCACCTGTCGGACGATCACCGGCTGGGTCCAGGCAGGCAGTGTACACTTTGGATGGCGCCGTTCTATTTTACGTTTTCGTTCTCTCTACGTTTTACTCCAAATTTTAAGTCATTTTATAGCTTTTCAAAATACATACATTTTGTTAGAGCAACTTCCGCAGAGCACCACCTAGATCAGCAGCCTGTTCGCTTGCTCATAAACGATCGTAAATTTCCAGCCGAGAATCGTGTTTTTCTCTCACACCAAACCAGCCAGCAGTAAATAAAAAAACGATACGATACGACCTCCCAAACAGCGCCCTGGCTTTGAATTTAGATGTTCCTCTATACTTTTGTTGGCCTAACTTTTTTTTTCTTCTACTCAGCGCCCATATCTAAGCCCCTGAAATCATTCCAGCAGACAATGACAAGTGAGACCCGCTGGTCATTCTCTCTTTCTTCTCCCACCCTTTCTTTCTTCTATCTATCCACTGTTCCTCTCCATATCTACCGTGCGGGGAGGAGTCCCGCTGGGGCAGGGGCCGTGCCGGGACGAGCTCTCGCCGGGGAGGAGGCCGCGCCGGGGAGGGGCTGCTCCGGGAAGGAGGCTGCGCTGGGGACGGAGCCGCGCCTGGGAGGAGGCTGCATCGGGGACGGAACCGCGCCTGGGAGGAGGCTGCGTCGGGGACGGAGCCGCGCCGAGGAGGAGGCTGCGCCGGGGACGGAGCCGCGCCTGAGCAGTGGCCGCGCCGGAGCAGGGGCCACGTCGGGGAGGAGGCCGCGCCGAAGCAGGTGTCGCGTCGGGGAGGAGGCCGCGCCGGAGCAGGGGCCGCGTCGGGGAGGAGGCTGCGCCGGAGTAGGGGCCGCGCAGGGGAGCAGCGGCCATGGAGGGCGTCGCGAGCTGGGGGAGGGCGTCGCCGCGCTTCCGTGCGAGGGCGCGTGGGGAAACTGTCGCAACCGACGGATGGGGGCTCGAAGGTGAGCCAACGAGAATGCGGTCTGGGGTGATGATTTGGGGGCTCATCCAAATTTCAGGGCCGTAGCAGGGCCCTGCTGGAGTTCTCTTATCCATCTATATATATCATGCCTACTTATATAATATAAGCTACGTGTCTTTAAAAAAAAAGTTAGATCAACTACGTGTCTTAAAAAAAAGTTAGATCAACTTATAATTTAAAATAGAGGGAGTATTTTTTTTTCCCAATAGAACGACTTGTTTTTCTCTATATGGCAGTTTTGCACTGTCCGCACTTGAGTTCATTGTGTATTTGAAAAGCTAATGTTTTGGCCGACTCGATCTATCGCCATTTCATTTATGTTTGGTGCGCACTCATCCTCACTTATATGCTACTCTCGTGGCTTCGCTAAATTCTCTAGTAACGTTATGGCCAGGGGTTAGATTTCTTAAGTTTCATGATTTGGATTCACTGTCGAGCTTAGAGGAGCAATTATGGTAGGCCAATAAATCAGTGACGAAGCCAAAAAATAAGATTAGGAGGGACAAATGTTAATAGGGGGCCATTTACTCTTTAGTTACATGGCAAATTAGATTGGTTATTAAAGGATATAGTGGAAAAACGTCAAAGTTAGGGGGTCAGGCCCTCTCTAGCTCCCTGTCTTCGCCCCTGAGATCAATGATGGCAGCGAGTCGTATGCAGGACCACAACGATGGCAAAGAATATGTACTAGGGTTGAGATAGAAACGACGATGAATACAACAACAACGGTGAAAGGTATAGCATGAGTGCATGACGCTTGACAAAATTGTACCATGTCACGGCTAGGCCGTGTGCCTGATCCGAGCCTGCCAGTAGTCTTATTGGGCTGGACAGAGGTTTCGCTAACCAGAAAACAAATTCCTTATCCCGGGCATAGCTCAAAACATCATTTGTATTTATTTTTATATTGAAAACTCGTGGTCAGCCCGCATATCCCCAATTATGAGGCCTGAACCTACTCACAGCAGGCCTGGACGCAGATTCTAGGCTCGAAATCAGTAGGGCATTTTGTAGGCCCGGTCTGATCCGACTTTTGCTCAGGTCTAGTCACGGCAAGGGTGTTTGTCACGTCAAGACTGTCTAGGAAAAAGAAGACGGGAGAAGAGCAATACAAAGAAGAAATAAGGCCACGTTTAGTTTCTCCTCAAAAAGTTTACACCCCATCACAACGAATATTTGGACACATGAAGTATTAAATATAGACTAAAAAATAACTAATTACATAGATTGCGACTACTTTACAAGACGAATCTTTTAAGCCTAATTAGTATATGGTCTGATAATAAAGTGTTATAGTAACATATGTGCTAATGACGGATTAATTACCCGGATTCTATAATTTATTTTTTTATTAGTATCAAAACACTCCATACGACACCTCCATGTGACACCCCAAAATTTTACACCCTCGAACTAAATAAGGACTAAGATTTGGATAATGGGGTCCAAAAGTTAAGAAAATCAAATGATATACCCTAGAGCTGAGCATAAATGAAACTGATCATGCAAAGGCCGAGCTTTGATTTGGCCTAGGCTGACTATAGCCCACTACATCAAACCATTCACTACTATGGGCAGCGCTGGAACACCATTCCGTTACCTTGAGAAATTGATCTTAGACTGAATTTTGCCTTGAAAAATGATGTTAGACTGAATTTTGCCTTGAAAAAAACGCACCCTAGGATTTTAATTTGCCGGGAGAACATGCACGATTTTGGACTGAATTATTTTGCAAAGCGTTTAAGCCTTGTATTACGTCATCCCAAACGTCGTATAATAAAGCATCTTGATACTCGGTGCGTCTGATCTTAGTTTTGATCCATCATCCGTCCTCAACCACGGAGAGAAGGGAATTTAAAGAACAAGAGAGGGCTAGAGAGAGAGAGAGAGAGAAGAAAGAAAGAACGATGAAGCCCATGCCCATGTAAGATTTAGGACATGTTTGGTTGAGACGCCAAACACTTTTATTTGCTTGCCAGGTAGCGGATGTCGTCGATTTTGGTCTTCCGGTGGTCGAGATCAAAGCCTATCGAAAAAGCTGCCTGTTGGCAGGCCACAACAACCAAACACATCATGGTATATACTCAACTCTCTCTCTCTCTTTTGTGAAAAAGCCTCATAGGCAATTTGGTTAAGTAGCGGCTGCCGCCACTCATTCTCCACTCTTTATGCTGATAAAAACTAGTGAAGAGATAGATGGGAACAGCAGGAAAAAAATATAATGGAAACATGTGGCTGCGCCATATATCGACCGACGACCAATCGCGACGGATCCATGCGCGCGTGCAAGTAAAGTGCACGCATGCATGCATATGTCGTAGTTCAATCGTTAGAATTATTATTGAAATTTACAGGCGATCGGAGAGAAAATATGTGATGTAGGGTTGAGTGCAGGTCACAATTGCCTGGATTGAGTTGGTTCATGCGGTTTATTTTTTTCGTCGTCAACGATGGATAGGATTATATGTTACTGTATATTTGTGTGCATTATGGTGTGTGGATGGATAGAAAGAAAGGGCGGGCGGCTAATTGGTTTGGCTTCCGGCCACCACCGGCATACATATAAAATGCATGCATGGATCTCGATCGGCCTGGCCTTTTACACTGTTACATCATCGTTGTCATCTGTCATCAGACATGCGAGCTAGCTAGGCATACACACATATACACTGATCCTGCTTAGTTATGGAAATGGAACGACCCAACGTACGCACAACCGCAATGCTAGTGACATGGCATGGCCGCACTGGCAGTCTGCTGTCCGATGCATGGTGATATTGGGAGATCGATCGGCGTCGGCGGCCGGCCGGGGACTGCATGCATGCAGTCTGTAGGGATCGATGGATGTAGTGATGTACCGTACGCGCATGCATGCGGCGGGCCGGCAAAAAGGGAAGCCATGAAAACGATGGAGCACTAGCGCACGTCGATGGGCCGGTCGACCACAAAAATTCGGTGAAGATTACTGATCGAGCTCATGGTGTAGACGTACGTGTAATAGTAGTAGTAGTAGGCATCATCTGCTATGAATTCATGACACGTATCTATATATAGACTTGCAACAGCTCACGAATAGGCAGCCTGTTCGGGAGGCCGTCGTATCGTGGATTATTTACTGCTGGCTGGTTTTGTGTGAGAGAAAAACACTGTTTCCGGCTGAAAATTTACGATCGTTTACGAGCAAGCGAACAGGTAAAGGAAAGGGATAGAAATTTCATAGGATTGCAATGGTAAAACACAGGATTGAAAACTTAGGAATATTGTAGAATATAAATGTTTGGATACTCATGGGAAATTCATAGGAATAGGAATATTAGGAAGTGCATAATCCACATCATTGATTCAATTAATGGTCTGTGCTGTGAGGACAAGGGCAATGTCTAATCATCAATTGGAGACCTGAACATTTGTCCAATGTCAGCCTCAAACAACAGGTCAGAGTGAATGTTCTCAATCCTTTGGAATTCCTGTGTTTTTGTAGGATTGCTACAGTATCCCGCCAACGATCCTGCGCTCCATTTCTGCGAACCAAATGGATGAATAGTGACCATTCCATAGGAACGGTGAATCCTTTGAAAATCCTTTGGCATTCCCATGAACCCTATATGTGACAATTTTGGAGGCCGTTATTTGCCGCCACACTTTCTCTTTCTCCCGTTACTATCGATAATCCTAGCTCCTTTAGGCATTGTTCGCTTCTTTTATAATCCGTATTTTTCAGCTTATTTTTTTAGCCGGAACAGTGTTTTTCTCTCACAACAAATCAGTCGGAACAGTGTTTCGACTTGTTTTTTTCAGCGAAGCGAACGGGGTCTTAATTTCTTCTTGTTCGGTGCATGGATTGTCCCATAGCTGACACTATCCAACGGGGCGCTCTTCCAGAATTAAGCAGTCTTGAACAGTTTTATTTTTCAACTACTCTTTTTCGAATTTACGCAACAATCTCATATGTTAAATGCTTAATCTGTAGCAGATGTCAATAACTGTCCATACCGATTCCTCCCCACATGCACTGCAGCAAATTAGAGGTATGTGGTATGTAGCCGATACGATGGGAAGATCCAAAGAGGGCAGGGCAGGCAAGCATGCATGGATGCAGAACTAGCTAACTAACCCTTTTCCCTTTTGGACGGAAAGTGCCGCGCCGGGGTCGTCTCTGGTCCACCTAGCCCCACTAGGCCACTACTAGCAAGCTTCTTCGATTCGTGTATGATAATGAATTCACAGTCGGTCTCGTCGGTCGGTCCAGGGCCTGACGAGGCTAACTTGAGACAGGGAGAGAGAGAGAGAGAGAGAGAGAGAGAGAGAGAGAGAGAGAGATGCATGCAAATATGCAGTGCAATCTAGGCGGCTGCCATCCATCCCCATCCATCCATCGCTCTGAATGTGCTCTTTGTGTGTCTCTCGACAGTGGTCAGTTGCCCCCTCAATAAAAAAAAAGGGAAGACAGTGGACAGTTGCGGCTGCGGGCTGCGACCACCGACCCATCCACCTGGGAGGTCCTACAGGAGCTATTGAATTTGAAGGAAGAAGAATGCCTGAAAACTGTTCTTTTTCTTTGGAAGTGGTGGAGTGTCTGAAACAAGCTGAACAAGGGAGAGAGGGGATTGTCACGAGATGAAATAGTAGGATAGGTCCTGCGCTTGATGTGTGAACTTGGCCGGAAGGAGAGACAGGTGCCGGTGAGGATGGCCAATGTACAGCAAAGTTGGAAACCTCCCCCAGCCGGATTGCTGAAGATCAACACGGACGGGGCTTTGTTGTTAGAGATCACTTTGGGGGATGTTATTGTTGCAGGGGCGGGGCGTCTAATAGCTGCGTCTGATGTGCTTACAACAGAGACAATGGCGTGCTCAATGGCTCTTCTCTCGGCAACTGACTATGGCATCTCGAGGATCCAACTTGAAGTCGACTCGACTGTCCTGAAGCAGGCCCTCTCATCCTCATTGATGGACCTTGCTGCGTGTGGTATGGCGTTGCGGGA